TTTATGTAGCATTTTGCCTTATTTCTGGTCCATATTAGTTATTCAGTTAGTGTATTGTAAGAATTAATAACATTTTAAATAAACATCATTCTCCATATATCACTTTAGACATGTTTCCAATAACTTTGGAAATACGATTAGCAATGACAAATCGGTCTAGTGTTGATTTTAAGAAGAAACTATCTCCAATAAACATGGCATTTCCAAAAAACAATCTAGCAGTGTTTTAGAATAGCAGGTTTTGAAAGGATCAAAAATCAATATTCTGGATTCTAGAAGGAGGGAAACAAGCAATCTCAAAAATCCCTGAGAAATAACTTGCTAGGTAGACATTTTGATACCATTGTTAAAGGGGCAGAGGCAGCATTAGTATACCCGTGAGTGAGAGTTTGTATATGTGAATGTATGAACGATGGGTCATGATGATGAACTCATAGAGCCAGACTGGTTTTGCCCTTAATCCTCTCCACATTTCTTTATGGATATGCTGTGGAAGGGGGCTGAAGGAAATCTGAACAAAAATATCAAACACTTACATAGAATATACTGTCTGCCAGGCACTTTAAACTACTTTACATACTTGTTTCATCTTTATAACAATCCTATAAGCTATCGACCACAACAATGGACTCAAACATACCAAAGATCATGAAGATGGCACAGGACCAGGCAACATTTCGTTCTCTATAAGGTCACTATGAGTCAGAGGAGACTCGAAGGCTATAACATAAAGTAAGATACTGTCTTAGGCTGGGTTCTCTAGAAGAGAAAAACCAGTGAAACATATGCATATCTATATCTAAGTCGTTGCTGTTAGGTACCATCAAGCCAGTTCCTACTCATAGCTGCCCTATCTACAACACAGCAAAACATAGTCCGGTCCTGCACCATCATCACAATCATTGTTATGCTTGAGCCCATTGTTGCAGCCACTGTGTCAATTCATCTCCTTGAGGGTCTTCCTCTTATTCACTGACCCGCTAACTCTACAAAGCATGATGTCTTTCTCCAGGGACTGGTTCCTCCTGATAAAGTGTCCGAAGTACTTGAGAGCAAGTCTCTCCATCCTTGCTTCTAAGGAGCATTCTTGCTGTACTTCTTTCAAGACAGATTTGTCTATTCTTCTGTAAGCCCATGGTATATTCAATATTCTTCACCAACACCATAATTCAAAGGCGTCAATTCTTCTTTGGTCTTCCTTATTCATTGTTCAGCTTTAGTAAGCATAAAAGGCTGTTGAAAATACCATGGCCTGGATCAGGCGCACCTTAGTCCTCAAAGTGACATCTTTGCTTTTTAACACTTTAAAGAGGTCTTTTGCGGCAGATTTGCCCAATGCAATATGTCATTTGATTTCTGGACTGCTGCTTCCATGGGTGTTGACTGTGGAACCAATAAAATGAAATCCTTGACAACTTCAATATTTTCTCCATTTATCATGATGTTGCTTGTTGGTACAGTTGTGAGGATTTTTGTTTTCTTTATGTTGAAGTGCAGTTCATACTGAAGGTAGCAGTTTTTGATCTTCATCAGTAAGTGCTTCAAGTCCTCTTCATTTTCAGCAAGCAAGGCTGTGGCATCTGCATATCACAGGTTGTTAATGAGTCTTCCTCCAACCCTGATGCCACGTTTTTATTCATATAGTCCAGGTTCTTAGATTATTTGCTCAGCATAGAGATTGAATAGGTATGGTGAAAGGATACAACCCTGACACGCACCTTGTTCTGTTCGAACGACTGTATCTCTTTGTTCTGCTCAAACGACTGCCTCTTGGTCTATGTACAGGTTCCTCATGGGCACAATTTAGTGTTCTGGAATTCCCATTCTTCTCAATGTTATGATCCACACAATCGAATGACTTTGCATAGTCAATAAAACACAGGTAAACATTTTTCTGGTATACTCTGCTTTAAGCCAAGAACCATATAGAAAGATTTACTTC